ATCAATCAATCAATCAATCATCAATCAATCAATCAATCAATCAATCAATCAATCAGTCAATCAATCAATCATTAAAAAAAACAATCAATAAACGAGTATTTATTTTTTTCTATTTTTTTAATTGTTTTTGCTACCTATCAAAAACAACCCCCCCCAAAGTTTTGATTTTTTTTTTTTTATGCAGGCCGATAGCGGCTAACGTGCGCAGGCCGAGCGAGTGTGCCGATTTTGAGCGCGCGCCCCCGCCTGGGCGTGGCTGGGCCGCACGCAGACTCGGCCGCGGGCCCGCGGCCGGCCTCCTCAGCCTCGGACTCAGCCGTAGGATCCATGGCCGACGGTGTCACGTAGCCCGTTCGTGCTCCACCTCCTGCATTTCAAGCAGAGGGTGGCAAGGATGGTTGAGCCTTGTCCTCTGTGTCACCTTCCACGTCATATATGTCGTCTCTATCGCCCGCACCATCGACAAAGTCATCACGTTCTGCTTCACGCTCCCCGTCACTCGTTGCCCGCATCGTCGATACTCGAGCAATGATTCGCTCCAGACAGTGCGTCGTTGATGGTGAGCTTGCTGACTGCCCAATCTGTCACACCCCCACGGCCGCACTTGATGGACCCCCAGCCGGTGGACTAAACTCTGATTGCTGGCCATACCCTCCTCTGTACACAGTTATAGCCGGTCCTGCATGGGTCGCATGGCTGAGACTGCCACGACCACCCTGTACACCAACCGATGGCTCACCGGTGGATTGGTTGGGATGATCTATGAGAACAGTGGGCATCACTGATCTCTGGCCCCCAGAGGATAATTGAAGATCCAACGGCGGGCACATCCCACTTCGGCCGTCAGAATACAGGAGTGATTCCATCTCTCCCTCGCTCGAACCACCCCGCATCACTGACCGTGCACCCTCGGACATTGACTGGGTGGATCCGCACGGAGTACGATAATGGCAGGGTGGCAGAGGGGGGCGCCCAAGTCTCGTTATCTGGCAGGGGCTGCTGATGGGGCGACAGATGGGCGTTGAGACTGGGGTTCAAGTTGAACCGGGGTTCGGCTGCGTTCCCGTCACCGAACATCGGCCCTGCTTCCATGTTGTACATGTACCTCTCATGGCCGTTCGCACCTGCCATGATTGTTGTCGGTTTCCTATGCGATGTCGTGCTACAGTGCTTGACAACCGTCGCTTGTGAGTCCTCGCACGACCGCACAGCAAACCAGACAGGTGCAAGAGGACGATGACCACAAGGACCTGCAACATGACACACAAAACGACAATCTTCCCGAGATGGTCTGGCATGAAACGGGACGTGATGGACACGGCGGCAACCTACGAGGACATCAAGCGTGCTCAGAAGGTGACGAAGAGCACGAAATTGGTGCACAACGCCATGCATTACAATACGGCTGTCGCGCATATCATGTATTACATCTCACGCATAGGCAAAGGCAGGGACACCTGTGACGTGCAACCTCACACCCTGTGCTGTCTTCCGTTCAGAGTGTTAGGCAGGCAGAAAGAGGCCCAGAAAAACAGCAAGATGGGGTGTGCCAAGGATTTTTGGAAATTGAGTGTGGGGACACAAATGGAACTGAAATCCCCCGTGTAGGTCCGATGTAGCAAGTCGATTAATTTCGCGCGTCGCGGAATGCGCGCGCGGTCATGGCGCGAAAACAGAAAGATCCAAATTCAATCCAAAAAGTCCTGTCGGGCTTCCCACCGGGCTAAAGCCCATCGTTTAGAACGGAAGGGCTTTGGCACGCTTCGCGTGTCTCGATTTCGTATCAGATCTCGTCGTCGTTCGCTGGTCAGTTTCGAGTCCGACGTGGATGGTCTCAACCGAGTGGCTCTTTCCTTATGCTCGACGTCCTCACTCCGTATTCGGTAGTGAAAGCCCTTCGCTTCGTAGCGATCGAAACGTTGACACTCCGTGCACAAAGTGCGGGGCCAATGGGGCGCCACTGCTGTCCACGGAATGACAATCAACTCGTTAAACGACAACAATATCGAGTAGGGTGGAAAGTGCGTGTCGATAATGACAAATCTGGCGTCTACGAACCCTGAACAACGATCGGTCGGAGGGAAGTAATAGTGCCCGCCGATTTGTGCGACGGCTTCTCGTACGTCCCACTCACATACACGTGTCCTTTCCTCGTTGTAGGAAAAGGGTCGCGTTGGAATGGGAAATACGGGAGGTTGGCGCCCAATCGAAGGGCACTTTTCAGTCCACATGACAATCAATCACAAATATCCCGAGACGTCATTAAAAGCAGAAGCGATTCACGCGACCCTCAATCCACCCTTTTGACACAAGAGCGAGAGCAAACACACATTCACTGGATCATGCATATGACTAAGGGACCGATCCGCGACTCAGGTCAACACAACGTTGGTCCCTGGCGCCTTATTTCTCAAGGCCGCCCGGTGGCTTGGCTGCAGATGTTGTGCAGCATAAGGCAGATGGCATGCGTAGTGCATTCGGAACCACAGATCTAAACACTCTTGCATTCTTGAACAAAATCCCGGCGACAATCGTCTAATCAATACGAAAGGAGTCACACATCTCCATACGTGCCTTCACTGTGGAAGGTGCGAAAATGAGACATGCACAGGAAAAGATGGATTGCATTGCACAGTACACACGCATCCACCGTTCACAAGACAAGAMGACAGGGTCMTTKCGTAGGAGRATTACCCRGGAAACTAATGGAARAGYTCCGGAAKAAGTTCTTTCACACAGAAACAKGATGCCGACTCATTCCCRTTCAAGAGAGGGACAATCATTCARACGCATCGTCTTTCGAGAAGAAAGAGAGAGAGAGAGAGAGAGTCGAGGGAAAGAAAGTCCAAAATAGAAGATGACAAGGTCCAGGAAGAGAAAAGTTCGGCGTCACCGCCGTACACTTACGCCTAAGATAACAATCCACAACAAAGGCGCATTCGCCGTTAATTCCAATATGGCCCCGGGCCAATCAACTCAACATCGATCCTCATACCCGCACCGACGATCCCGGTCGTCGCGTGCTAACTCCCACCACTACGATCATTACCCCGCTGTCGTAAACTCGACACGGTTCACCTAGATCCCACAGTCCGTCGTGACGATCCAGCGCGCAACTGACCAGTCTATCGTCAGCCCGACAAGACTTTCCGACTCGCTTCAAACACTCTGCCTAGCCACTGCTTCCCGGAAGCTGGCTTGAGAGTCGAGAACGTAAGAGAGATTTGCGGGCACGCTTGCGGGTTTTATAGTTGCGAAAAAGGAGAATAGAAGGGGGAGAGAGCGACGGGAAAGCTGAGGTGTAAGAGGAGAAGCAGGAGGAGAAGACTTTGAGGAGAGTGCTCTACGAACGCCATGCTGATCCCTGGGAACTCAAGGTTCATCCAATCAGATTCGTCGCGCAATAGGAAGGTCCTATCGATCCACGCACCTGATTGGCGACCGGGAGTTATCGGGGGATCGACCGGGCGTCGTACGCCAAACTTTAGAGGGTGAGAAGAGAAAAGGCGTGAGAGGTGGCGCAAGACGGGTCCAAGATTCAGATGATCAAGAAAGGGAAATGGGCGCGCGAAAGCAAGGCGGGAGAGAGAGAGAGGGAGAAGGAAAAACAGTTATGGGGAGAGAGAAAAAGGAGGGAGAAGGGAAGGGAGGCGCGGGAGGGAGCGATGTGGGGGACAGAGAGGAGGAAGTTTTTGCATGCACGGCGCCGTCAACAAAAAAAAGGAAAAAGGCACCGAAACAGTTACAACTTGCTTCTATCCTAATTCAAAATTGAAATCACCATATCCGCGCGCGAAAAAGCGACACGGGAAAAGAAAATCCTATGCCTATTCGTATTTACACAAAATTCTGAGAGTTTTCCCCAACGCGCCCAAGAACATTCACACACCCAAAAAGGACACGTCGAAGTTCCGCTTATCCCGGAATTCCCAACTACCGAGCCCAATTCCCAGTGCGCTCGCTTAGACGCACGTAAATTCTCATGTATTTTCCGACTTTGCAAGAAGAAAAACAGAACTTAGCAGTCGAAAAAGTTTTCAAGAAGGAAAATGCGGCACCTGAAAGCAAGAACTCAAAATGGGGTTTTCCTGGGGTTGGTATGATACAAGCAAAAGAAAGGGTACGAAAGATGGCACGGGGTCGGGAAGTGGTTCGTCACATATGTGATGCGCAGGGGGTTCCAAATTCTGCGATCTCCTGATTGCATGTCATGGCGAAAAAGAAAAGGGGAGAACAGAGTGATGCATGAGGAACCAAGCGTATCAACAGAGCAGAAAGAAGTACAAGGAACAAAAACTGGGCCGCGGATGAGATGGCGACAACATCCGTGGCAAGATCTCTATAGCCCTATCATATGCAACCCTCTGCCTCGTAGAGATCGTCCAGGTGACGCCATCATGGTCCACCTGATC